AGACAGTGTTCAGGGGGCACAGGGGAGACAGTGTTCAGGGGGCACAGGGGAGACAGTGCTCAGGGGGCACAGGGGAGACAGTGTTCAGGGGGCACAGGGGAGACAGTGCTCAGAGGGCACAGGGGAGACAGTGCTCAGGGGGAACAGGGCAGACAGTGTTCAGGGGGCACAGGGGAAAGAGTGTTCAGGGGGCACAGGGGAGACAGTGTTCAGGGGGCACAGTAGAGACAGTGTTAAGGGGCACAGGGGAGACAGTGCTCAGGGGGCACAGGGAGACAGTGTTCAGGGGGCACAGGAGAGACAGTGTTCAGGGGGCACAGGGGAGACAGTGTTCAGGGGGCACAGGGGAGACAGTGTCCAGGGGTGTTGGGAAGATAGAGATCAGGAGAGTGCAGGACCCAAAAAGAATAAAAGAGGGTAAAGTACTGTGTGGGTGCAAGGAAGGCAGATATTTGGGGTGCTGGGCAACAGGTAACTGGAAAAAACAGAGGAATCAGCAGTGAGAAAGAAAGGCAACAGTAGTTGGGGGGGGGGGGGGGGGGGGGGGGGGGTTGGAGGCAGGTGGTCAGAGTAGCACCAAGTAGAGGAAGGCAATGCAGGTAGGAAGAACCCTGTAATAAAGGAAACGACAATCAGTTTTCAGGGGTGCAGGTGAGGTGAGGATCATAGGGTGAAGGAAGATCCACTGGTGAAATTGTGCAGGACAGCCAGCATTCAGGGTGGCATGGAGCAGAAGAGAGAGAGGCTCAGGAGATGCACATATCAGGGGTACAAAAGAGCCAAAGATCAGGGGGTGCAGGAGATGCAGAGATCAGGGGGCGCAGGGGATCCAGTGATCAGGAGTGCAGGGAATCCAGTAAGGGGTGCAGCGAATCCAGTGATCAGGGTTGCAGGGGATCCAGTCATCAGGGGTGCAGGGCATCCAGTGACCAGGGGTGCAGGGAATCCAATCATCAGGGGTCACAGGACAGTCAGTGATCACAAGGTGCATGAAGCTCAGTCTGATCAGAAGATCTTCAGAACTGCAGATCCAGGGACAGCTGGCTTCTGAGTGAGATGGGAAAATAAAAGACCCACCCACTGCCCCAGACTGCCTCCTGATTGGTCGCTCTACAACATCTGGACTATAGTTAACTCTTGACTGGCTGTGTGTGAGCTGGGAGCGATGCAACTTTGTATAAAGTTTCCTTCTTTGCCATCAGTATGTGTAATATCGGATATTATACAATATATCCTTCTACAACTTCCCAGGCCAACCCCAGATGTATTATCCTCTGCAGAGAACAGTCACTCCATATCTTACATCTCTGGGAGGTGTATGACATCATTCACACAGGAGAAGAGTATACAGCCTATCATATCGGGTTGGAAGATGTGATCTCCTCATAGTGGGTGTAATCAGAAAGGCAGAAAGAAGGCCAGAAGAGTAGTTTCTTCCTTATGGAGGGTCATGTTGAAGATGTGATATTCCGATGGTGGACGTGATCATAAAGGTAGAGGGAAAATCAGGACTCAAGTAGTTTCTACCTTATGGAGGGTCATGTTGGAGGTGTGATATTCCAATGATGGACGTGATCATAAAAGTAGAGAGAAGGCCAGGAGAGTAGTTTCTACCTTATGGAGGATCATGTTGGAGGTGTGATATTCCGATGGTGGATGTGATCATAAAGGTAGAGAGAAGGTCAGAAGAGTAGTTTCTACCTTATGGAGGGTCATGTTGGAGGTGTGATATTCCAATGATGGACGTAATCATAAAGGTAGAGAGAAAGCCAGGAGAGTAGTTTCTACCTTATGGAGGATCATGTTGGAGGTGTGATATTCCGATGGTGGATGTGATCATAAAGGTAGAGAGAAGGTCAGAAGAGTAGTTTCTTCCTTATGGAGGGTCATGTTGGAGGTGTGATATTCCAATGGTGGACGTAATCATAAAGGTAGAGAGAAAATAAGGATTCAAGTAGTTTCTACCTTATGGAGGGTCATGTTGGGGATGTGATATTCCGATGGTGGACGTGATCATAAAGGTAGAGAGAAGGCCAGAAGAGTAGTTTCTACCTTATGGGGGGGTCATGTTGGAGATGTGATATTCCGGTAGGGGATGTAATCAGAATTGTAGAGAGATAATGAGGACTCAAGTTGTTTCTACCTTATGGAGGGTCATTTTGAAGATGTGATATTCCGATGATGGACGTAATCAGAAAGGTAGAGAGAAGGCCAGAAGAGTATTTTGTACCTTATGGAGGGTCATGTTGGAGGTGTGACATTCCGATGGTGGACGTAATCAGAAAGGTAGAGAGAAGGCCAGAAGAGTATTTTCTACCTTAAGTAGGGTCATGTTGGAAATGTGATATTCCGATGGTGGACATGATCATAAAGGTAGAGAGAAAATCAGGATTCAAGTAGTTTCTACCTTTTGGAGGGCCATGTTGGAGGTGTGATATCTCAGTGGTGAGTATAATCAGAAAGCAGAGAGAAGGCTGGGAGAAGAGTATTTTCAACCTTATGGAAGGTCATGTTGGAAGATAGGATATTGATGGTGGGCCTAATCAGAAAGGTAGGGACCAGGTCAGGAGAAGAGTAGTTTCTACTTCATGGTGGCTCATAGAAAAGAAAGAGTTGACACCTTGCGACCCTATAAAAGAACAACTCACCACAAACCTCACCCAGTCTTAAGCCTCGTACACATGATGAAAATATTCATGATCACAAATGATCATCCTTTTTTTTTCATGCTAAGCTCATATAGAAAACCAATAGGTTACTAAAGTAACGAAAATTCTCGAACAGAATACAACTTCGGAAGCGATGTAATATATTTTATTGTATTGTATTATAATGTACTTTTTTGACTCCGAGCTTGGTCTTCCAATTCTTTTTTGGACGAATGCTGTGCTGATTAAATGAAAATCGTTGGTTCTGGCATCGTACGAGAAAAATTTTTGTGCTTGGCCCTTTGGATAATTTTGCAAGAACTGTTGTGATCAGCTCTCGAAAGCTGTGTACTAACGATCAGATTGTCATACGATGGATTCGAAAGCAGTATTTTTCGTCTGATTTTCTGAATGTGTGTGCTAGGCTTTAGTTATGGCCGGTCAATGTTCTATGATTATCACAATAAATTAATTCAAGAATTGACCCATTTCAAACCCAAAAGACTCAGCCTTCCACCATAAATGTATAGCAGAAGATCCACGAACATGTTGGGGACAATCCCTGGGATCAGAGTGTAGATCACTCAACAATAACAAAGATGATTGCTTTGTTATTGAAAAAAAAGAAACTTTCTGTTTTATACAATTTATAAAGCCCTCTCCTTTTAAAGGAACATTTAGATCACTGTGGAAATGTAAGCATGTAAAGCACTCAGCTGCAACAGAAACTGTAGCTAATCAGATAATAGCTTTCTCTTATATACCATGTGTAACAAACACTCTCTCTTGGAGAGATCATTCGCACCATAGGGTTTGTCCATTCGCGGTTGGTTGTGCGTTGACGTTATGTTTAGGGCAGCCCAATCATTTCATTGGTCCGCCTTTCACGCATGGAACAGAAATAAAGAGTGTACAATATTTAGAACTGCACCAAATCGAATGGAACCGCGGTACCGTGGGTTTTGGTGGCTTGGAAGGCATGCGCATTTGCCATATGTGTGGGGGTGCTAAAAGGAATTAATGGCACCCGCGTGTGTCTGCAGAAGGAAGCGAGTTTTCATGAGGTGCGGGAAAATGCACAATTTCATGCATGTTCCTGCTCCGTACTTGGTGTGAAGGAATCTGTAGATCAAAAGATTGGTAAAAAGACACAATTCAGTTTCTTAAATAGTCAATTTTCAACTCCTGGATGTAAAGGATTCTCAGTCCACCTGCATTGGTTGCCAGTTTCTTGGATTCCTTATCAACCAGTGGGAGATGCACTCAAACACCCAGCAAGTCTTCCAACAGCAAGGGACAAAAAAAAAAAACCAAACAGTTATTCGCAAGCAGTTAGCTTGCCCGTAGGAAAAGTTATTTTTTCATAACCAGATACCACTCACTCCAAATCTACTGGTTGGTGTACCACAATGTCTACAGTGTCTTTCTCTATGATAGGAAAACAAGGAGCCTATTTATTTCAGGTACTCCTATAGCGCCGTCAATTTACGCAGCGCTTTACATATATATTGTACATTCACATCAGTCCCTAACCCTCAAGGGGTGTACAATCTAAGGTCCCTAACTCACATTCATACATACACATACTAGGGCCAATTTAGACAGGAGCCAATTAACCTACCAGCATGTCTTTGGAGTGTGAGAAGAAACCGGAGTACCCGGAGGAAACCCACGCAGGCACAAGGAGAACATGGAAACTCCAGGCAGGTGGTGCCATGGTTGGGATTTGAAACAATGACCTTAGTACTGCCAGGTGGAAGTGCTAACCATTTAGCCACTGTGCTGCCCAGCCTTAGAGCTCTTTCACATTTGCAGTAATGCTTACTGCACTCTTAAAAGGGATCCATGCTTGATCACTTTTCTAGGACTGTATAGCAGCAGCTGACTCATCCCTGACATCACTGTGGGAGGGTTCTACCTAAAATGGGCCTAACACCTGCTGTCACAACCTGCTGGGGTACAGCGCCACCTAGTAGCAAAGTGGATAACTGCGTCTGCCTACACTGGCATCTTTTTTTTTTTTTTTTGAAACATGTAAAGTACTTTTGTGAGTATACTGGAATTAGTTTTATAGATTTATTGAAAGAGTTTTATGGTATTGCATGAGGCCAATGCACCTTCTTCCTTTGCTTTGTTTCCGGTGCTCAGCTACCTGGTGGAGGTAGAGAGAAGATCAGGAGTAGATTATTTTCTACATAATGGAGGGTCATCTTGCAGATGTAATATCTCAATGGCGGTGTACTCAGAAAAGTAGAGAGAAAGCCAGAAGAGTACTTTCTATCTTATGGAAGGTCATATTGGAGATGTGATATCCTGTTGCTTGGTGTTATCAGAAAGAAAGAGAGAAGGTCAGGAGATGAGTATTGTCTTCCTTATGGAGGGTCATGTTGGAGGTGTGATATCCCAGTGATGGATGTACTCAAAAATGGTAGGGAGATGGTCAGGAGGAGAGTGTTTTCTATCTTATGGAGGGACATGTTGGAGGATGTGATATCCCGGTGGTGGGTGTACTCAGAAATGTAGAGAAGAAGGTCAGGACAGAGTATTTTCTAGCGTATGGGGAGTCATGTTAGAGATGTGATATCCTGGTGGTTGGTGTTATCACAAAGAAAGAGAGAAGGTCAGGAGTAGAGTATTTTCTTCCTTATGGAGGGTCATGTTGGAGGTGTGATATCCCAGTGGTGGACGTACTCAAAAAAGTTAGGGACACAGTCAGGAGGAGAGTATTTTCTATCTCATAAATGGAGGGTCATATTGGAGGATGTGATATCCCAGTGGTGGGTGTACTCAGAAAGGTAGAGAAGAAGATCAGGAACAGAGTATTTTATAGCATATGGGGGGTCATGTTGGAGGTGTGATATCCTGGTGGGGTGGGGGGGTGGGGGGGTGTAATTACAAACACAGATAGAAATTCAGGACTCAGGAGAAGAGTAATTTTTACTTTATGGAGGTTCATGTTGGAGATGTGATATCCTAGTGGTGGGTGTACTCAGAAAGGTAGAGAGAAGGTTAGAAGAGTATTTTCTATCTTATGGAAAGTTATCTTGGAGATGTGATATCCCGGTGGTCAGTGTAACCAGAAAGAAAGAGAGTAGGTCAGAAGAAGAGTATTTTCTACCCTATGGAGGGTATTGTTGTAGATTTTATATTCTGGTGGCGGACGTACGCAGAAAGGTAGAGAGAAGGTCAGGAGAAGAGTATGTTCTATCTAATGGAGGGTCATGTTGGAGATGTGATGTCCCAGTGGTGGATGTAATCAGAAAGGTAGAGGGAATGTCAGGGGAATTGTATTTTCTACCTCATTTGGAGTTGCGGGGTGTATATATAAATATATATAGAAAGCGGTGGGAGTAGTCAGAGAGGAAGGTTTCCAAGGTGTGTTTTTTACCTTACGAAGTGTCCTTTTGGAGAATTTGCAGCACAATCATCCCTGCAGTTTAAATTGGAGGAAAAGTAGCATTTGGCTGGAAACCACCACCATGGCCATTTGTATCTTCCCCTGAGACTGGATGGCCGGTGTTCCCCTCTTCTCTACACATAGGCCAATTTTAGCACGTTGGGGTATTTTTCCTGTTGTGTTGCTAGGAACAATTTCATTCTGCTCGAAGAAAAGGAGTTTGGTTTTTTGGGCCTCATAATTGTTTTTTGGAATTTCTGTAAGACATTACACCCCTATCCCCCTGGTGTCCCACTGCTCTCCTCTGTCTGCGGCTGGAGGCCACATCACAGAGAGAGGAATACTTCCCATTGTAGGGTGTCTATGTGTCTGTGTAAGAAGTCACTGTGGTTAGCATTGTGTTGCAATCTGGACTTTTTCTGATGAAAGTCATAAAATGAACAAAACTAAATGCTGCAACTTCTTTAGTAGTTTGCGCTGTGACATGTCGCCATCTCATGGTAGATTTTCTAAACTGCAACAAAACCAAAAATGTAATATAATGCAGTTTTATCTGGTGGCTGCATTTGTTTCACTTTTCCCCACTTTATTTTCACCTGTTGATCTTGACAGTAACACATTTCCTATTGTAGGGTGGCTACACTCTTTGGAACAGCAACAGAGCCACCTTTGGGCAGCAGTATTTTCAGCTTGTGGAGAGGGTAGTGTTAGACTGAACAGCAAATTTGGATGGACTTGACAAATTAAAGCTGAACTCCAGCAGACACTTTTTAAGCAGTTACAGCAGATTTTTTTTTGTTCTTTTGGGATAAAGGGTTTATATAAATGTCCATCAGTGTTGAACTGGTTCTAAACCTCTGAAATGAAAAATGAACAAAGCATATTTTTTTATAGGGAGTATTTGCCTCAGCCCAAAGCACAGCGGGATTTTAGTCAGCTGCCTCTTCTCTGCACACAAGTCACTTCTGACATGTAATGCAGATACCACAGAATCGTGGGGATGGGGAGCTCCAGCACACAGTCTTTGATTGACAGTCTCAGCCTCGCATGTTTCCTTATGAGACTTTGTGTTTTGTGTGTGTGTGTGTGTGTGTGTGTGTGTGTGGGGGGGGGGTGTCCTTTCCCACCAGTCAAGTCTCAGGTTACACTCAGCTCACCTCTCTGTAGTCTACAGTGCTTGTAGTCTACCCCCTGCTTTCTCACAATCAGAGGTGCTGTGTAAACTGTACATTTTGAATTGATGTAGAGGAGTGACAGCTGCAGATAAACCGGTACAACTTCTGTAGAAGAATTAGTTTCATTTCTGTGTATCACCTGAAGCTAGTAATTTTTAAGGCAGCACAGTGGCTAAATGGTTAGCACTTCCACCTGGCAATACTAGGGTCATTGGTTCAAATCCCAGCCACAGCACCACCTGCCTGGAGTCTGCATGGGCTTCCTCCAGGTACTCTGGCTTCCTCCCACACTGCAAAGACATCCATACAGAAAGGTTTCTTCACAGTGAGAGCTGTGAAAATGTGGAAAAGACTCCCTCAAGAGTTGGTTCTGGCCAGCTCAGTGGATCACTTCAAAAAAGTACTGGATTCTTTCTTGGATACACAGAATATAACTGGATATAACATTTATAGGTAAAGTTGATCCAGGGAATATCTGACTGCCTCTCGGGGGATCAGGAAGGATTTTTTTTCCCTGCAGGAGCAAATTGGATCATGCTTTGCTGGGTTTTTTTTGCCTTCCTCTGGATCAACTGTGGGTATAGGATTATAACTTTTATTTTTTAATGGTTGAACTGGATGGACTTTTGTCTTTTTTCAGCCAGACTAACTATGTAACCACCACAGAGCATCAGAGTGCATTGAGCTGGCAGCAGGGAGAGCAGGAGCTGCATAGGCTGATACTTCCTCTGTGGCCCCAGCTCCTGTCCCAGACAGAGTGATAGCAAGGACAACCGTAGGTGCACTGCGCTGCATCCACTGTGCTGGTGAACCACAGTGCATCAGTGTGAAAGCAGACTAATAGTGGGTTCACGACAGTAACAACCAGGGGCGGACTGACCATTTGGAAACTTGGGCACTGCCCGAGGGCCCAGGGTCAGTAGGGGGCCCCATGAGATGCCCCTGGTACCTTTTTCATAGGCTTTTTTGAGTTTGGGCAAGGACACAGGGGCCCCAGGATCCCCTATTGCCCGGGGGCCCCATGAGTTGTCAGTCTGCCCCTGTCTGCGGGTAACCAGATCCCCCCTCCCCGGAGACAAAGGGGGGCCCGGCTCACATCTATCCAGCTGTTGTGAGCAGCTGCCCACCCGGGGAAACATGCAGCAGGTGCAAGGGAAGCCAATGGGAGGCAGCGGGACACCTCCAACCCGCCCCTTGCAGGGGAGGAGCCTCCAGCCTGGCTGGCCGCTCATAACACACAGGGAAGAGGGAGCGGGCCAGTCAGTGTGCTGGTGTTAGTTCAGCGTGAGAGGCTCGCAGCAAGCCGGGAGTGCGGGACATCCTGCCAAGTCCCTCCGCCTGCGGAGATGGATAGAGGAGCGGTGTCTCAGTTCCTAAGACCATCGGAAATATGCGTTTTCCGATGATCTTAGGCGACCCCTATGAAAGTGTAGTTTGACCCCCAAAAGGGGTCGCGACCAACAGGTTGAGAACTGCCGCTGTAGCTAGACAGATGGGGAATGGATCCCATTCATCTGTTTTTATTGGATCGGATTGGATGTTGGATGTACATGACACATGACCATTGGACACATGACCATTTACATTCACCACTCTGTAGAGGATGATAGAGGATTCGATCAGGTCCACCTGAAAAATCGACAGGCAGATCTTTTCAGAACATTCGTGTGAAAGAGGCTTAAAGAAGAATTCCAGGTATGGATATTTTTACATGGTTACATTTGTCTAGCTTGGACCCATGTAACTACAGTATGTCAGGGCTTCCCAAAAAGTTTGAGATCTCGGGGAACCTTTGAAATAATGTTCAAATCTACAGCTTGTATACAGGAACATTGGTGTCATCAGAGAGCTGTTGATATAACAAGAAATATTTATAGAAATTGCATTAAATAATAGAATCCATATTAAACCATTCCTATTTATTGTGAAATACTGTATGTGCTTGCCTTTTTCTGCGCAGATGCTCAATTCTGGGTCCAAGTTGAGATAAGCAGTGTACAGGGGGGCAGCAGGGTAGGGTACAGGGGGTCAGGAGGGCACATTATATGGGATCATTGCACAATACGGGGCACACAGCAGAACACATTACATGGGAGACTGGACATTAAATGGGAGCACGGAATATTACATGTGAGCAGGGCACATTGCATGAGGTAGGGCATGTTACATGTGAGCAGGGCACATTACATGTAAGCAGGGCACATTGCATGGGGAAGGGCACATTAAACGTAAGCAGGGCACATTACACGTGAGCAGGGCACATTGCATGGGCACATTAAAAAGCAGGGCACATTACATGGGATTGAAGAGCACATTACATGGAAGAAGAGCACATTACATGGGAGAAGAGCACATTACATGGGAGCAGGGCACATTACATGTAAGCAAGGCCCATTGCATAAGCAAGGCACATTACATATGGAGCAGGGCACATTGCATGGGGCAGGGCACATTAAATGAGAGTAGAGCACATTACATGGGGCAGGGCACATTACATGAGAGCACAGAACATTACATGGGAGCAGGGCACATAACATATGGACAGGGCTCATTACATGACAGCAGGGCACATTATATGGGAGTAGGGCACATTATATGGGAGTGGGGCACATTATATAGGAGCAAGGCAAACTAAATGAGAGCAGGGAACATAATCAGGCACACAGAGGGGCACATTACATGGGAACATGGGGACAATATGGGCACAATATGGGGCGCAGAGCTGAGCAAATTACATGGGAGCAGGGCACATTACATGGGAGCACAGAACATTGCATGAGAGCAGGGAGCATTACATGGGGCAGGACACATTATTTGGGAGCAGAGCAAACTACATGAAAGCAGGGCACATGATGGGGCACACAGAAGAGCGCATTACATGGGATTGCAGTACATGACAAGAAAGCACAACACATTACATGAGAACAGGGCACATTACATGGGGGAGGACACATTATTTGGGAGCAGGTCAAACTATCTGAGAGCAGGGCACATTATGGGGCACAGGGCACATTAACAATGAGGGCACATTACATTATGCGCACATTACATGGGGGCGGGGATGGGTACATTACATGGGGGCAGGGCACATTACATGAGATGATATGAGGGCACATTGCATGGGGGCAGGGCACACTACATAGGTGTAGGGCACATTATGAGGCACACAGAAGGGCACATTACATGGGCAAAGGGCAAATTAAATCAGAGCAGGGCACATTACAAGGGAGTGGCAGCCTGGGGCCCACAGCAGGGGACATTTAGTCCTCAATGGACTCAATGGATAATACTGTATCTATCATTCACCTTAAAGACAACAAAACCATTTATCAGAACCTCAAAGCATATGTTCTGTTTTTTATGGACCATTCTCTGAAGATTTTCATGGAGCAAGTTTCCATAATTCAGACACTTTCATGCTAACCACCATGTGTCTATATACAGGTGTACTGCAGTTGTGATACATTTTTACAACATAACTTTAGGGAAAGAAAGTTCATATTCACGATAAAATCTTTAACATAGCTTTATTAATATTGTTAGCATGCATATATAAGGATCTTCCAAGACAAATGGGTAGGAATACATTATTTTGTCTCATTTCTTTATCTAATGCTCTCCTTCCCCATGTGGTCACTGAAAAGTATGAGAGCTTTAGGCGTGGTCTAGCATCATATAACATATGTGCAGCATCCTCTGGGGAGGGACATTGCATGGTTGCAAGGCAGTAAAGTATAGTCAATATGGAGGAAAGCGAGCTGACGTAGACACACAGCTGTTGAACTTGCTCGTTATCTGCAAAATGAGATAATATTTGATTTTTTATGGTGAAGACTTTCCATTCTGGAATAGAAACGTTTGGAATGTTAGTGATCCTTTAATGCTTCTTCTACATCTGAGGGGAGTTCCACCATTGATAATTATAGTGAGACTTTTTCAGTCCTGAGGATACCGTTTCAGAACAGTTTCATCATCCTGAGATTTAATAAATCCACTCAGGTTAAGTTTTGGCTTTTGGTAGATCGTGTGTAGTTAAAATATACAAGTTATCCTTCAATAAATCTGTCCACCCCCCTGAGTGCAGCCCATTTGATTACATACTGACCTTTCGCCTTGTTCCACCGTTCTTCATTGTGTGGCCCTGCCGAGCATGTCATCCTCAGAAAATGTACCCATTGGGTCTTCTTGTTAGTGGCAATGTGCGCTGGTACCCTGTTCAATCCTTTGGGAGAGCCAGACTCTGGAGTGCTGGAGGCCACCAAGAGTATGCCCCCCCCATAGGAATGAAGGGACCATGATACACATGAATACAAAATCACTTGAATGTGGAGGAAGATAAGTATGTTACCAGGTGAGCACACTCAGAGAAGTGGAGGGGATTCATTAAAGGACAGCTTTTACTATGGGTACAGTTGTCTTTTAAAGTCTATCTAGAATTGTTTTTAGTTTTGGTAGGGAACAGTTATAACCCCTGTCACCGCAACAGGAAATGATGGGAGATCCAAAACATTACAGATGTCACCAGAAAGTGGGACATCATGAAACTTTGGATAGGTTCCTCTTGTTTCCTGTTGTCTCTCCTTACTACCCTAAAATAACAACAACCTAAATATCAAACTTTTCTATGAGTACAGCAAAAAAGAAATTAATTTTCTTGATTTAACGCTTCTTAATAACGGAAACCATATTGTTTGTGAGGCTTACTTTAAGAACACAGACAGAAACAGCTTTATCCCTACAGACAGCTGCCACCATCCTATGTGGTTAGCAAATATTCCCAAAAGTCAATTTATGCGGGTCAGAAGAAATTGCACTAACTTAAAATCCTATTATAATAAAGCTGACATACTGAAAAATAGGTTCATAGAGAAAGGTTACGATGAGGCTAAACTAAAGACAGAAATGGATCACGTAGCTAAGATGAGCAGGGATCTTATGTTATCTAATGCTAATAATCAAAGTACAAGTAAGATCTGTCCATTAGTGACAACATTTTCTCTCCGATATAAAGCGATTAATGAGATTATTAATAAAAATAGGAGCATTCTGATGGCGGACCCTATCCTATCTAAAGCATTACCGGCAAAACCTGAAATTGTTATTAAAAGAGTTTCTGCTCTTCGGAATAGAATCTCACCTAACATCATAGACCCCCCGATACAGTCCACTTTTTTCTCATAAATGAAAGGGTTTTATCCCTATAAGAGATGTATGATATGCCAGCAAAGCAAAATCCAACTAAAAAAGATAGAACCTTCTCATTCACATGTACAGGAACAACATATGAAGTTTCCTCTTTTATCTCTTGCAATAGCAAATATGCGGTCTATCTCCTTGAATGTCCTTGCAGGAGACAATATATTGGGCGTACCACTAGACATCTGAGAGATAGATTTAGAGAACACATTTACAATATCAAAAAAGGTTTTCAAAGGACACTCCTTGTCCAAACACTATCGACCTACAAAGCCATTCACAACACTGCCCCTAACTACCTCACCGACCTGATTCCCAAGTACCACCCTACCCGTACCCTTCGCTCTTCACGGGACCTCCTTCTATCTTGCTCCCTGGTCTCCTCCTCACACGCACGTCTGCAAGACTTCTCCAGGTCCTCCCCCATCCTCTGGAACTCACTACCCCAATCCATCAGACTGTCACCTTCCCTCCTCACCTTCAGGCGCTCCCTGAAAACCCACCTTTCAGGGAAGCCTACCCCACCCTCACCTAACTGCTGCTCTCCTTCATTCCTCCTACCCACTCCATCCCCCACAGCCACTTCCTCCTGTACCACTACCCCCCCCTCCCTCCTAGATTGTAAGCTCGAAAGAGTAGGGCCCTCTTACCCCTCGTGTGCTGTTCGTAGTTGCTGTAATGTTTCATGTATTGTCCACCCCTCTATTGTACAGCGCTGAGCAAACCCTTTGGCGCTATATAAACTCAATGTAATGTAATGTAATAATGTAATGATACCATCACAACAGTGATCCCTCAACACTCAAATTTATGGGCATAGAGATTATTG